ARRASMRSCMWTWAWTTTTTKCTTCTTCCCCTTTCTGTGTCTAGGGAAAACCTGGATTTCCTGGACCTTCTGGAGAAAAAGGCAGCAGAGGAAAATGGGTAAAGTAACATTTACAGCAATGTTTAGATTTTATGGAAACATCATTCCTAAGTGTAATGCTGTCTGCAATGCCTGTGAGGTGTTTTTAATAGCTGTCTGTTCTCTAATATGCTGTCRTGCMTGCTCTAAATCAGTGCAGCTCCACTGACTTCAACAGCTCTGGCCTTCCTCTGCTACAGATACTATTTATACTTGTACCTGATTTGTTTGTGCTCTTTTTATGATTTAGGGTGGAAAAGGCCCCAGAGGARAACCAGGTGAACGAGGAGAATCTGGTCTAAGAGGAGATCATGTAAGGGCATTCCTTTATTTTTATTACATTGCACTGATTTGCAACTGAACTTTATGATGGAGATGCCTGAAATATATGTGTTTTGGAGTTTTTCACAATCCTAGATAATGCTGTGCTCTGCAAGAAGCATGGCATATTCTAGGAGTCCTGAACTCTTTAGATGTAGATGGACTGATATGTTTTGATATGTTGCTTGGAAGCAGATATTTTAGCCTGAGGTCTCCTGCTTGTTTCTTGGACTTTTGTTTTGTTTGTTTTTACCATGGRCAGCAGAACTCCTTTTGAGGCTGCTTATCATAGAATTACAGAATGGCTTGGGCTKAAAGGGACCTTAAAGATCAACTGGTTCCATACCCCTGCCATGAGGAGGGACACTTCCCACTAGATCAGATGGTCTAGTGAAAAGATCAGGTGGACTCGGTCAGTCTTCCCTGTTGGTTTCCACTCTACAGAGGAATTTTAGATCAGTTGAAAACCTGCGCACTTTCTCTTGGTTAGCAATTTATAATGATGCAAAGGCAAGTTACTTCTTCATGTTACATTTTTAACTTGCACGCTCTGGAGACCTACATAAATGCACTCCCTGAGGATGAAAATTCCAGTGCAGACACCACATTTCTTGTATCACAAGTTCATMTTTTCACAGATATTTCAAAGACTTTGTTCCAGTCATATATTGTGCTTACTCCTGTCTTTAATGCTTATATTTTAAAAAAACCCATTCAAGTGTCATGGTAATTTGCCTCTTTGAGAGATCAGGATTTCACCTGATCTAGCACACCTGATCTAGCATTCAGTGGCTAAATGGAACCCCATGCYAGTGTAACCCCCCATCTGAAACTCATGAGTTATGATCTTAACTCAATTAACTGTATCAAATCAACCAGAACGTTTTCACATTTTCAGTTTCATTTCTTGCCCATTAGTAATTTGTCTTTTAATCTCTGTGGAAAAGAACTTGGCGGACTTTGCAGAACTTCCTATATGGTGTTCTTACAAGCATCTTTATTTAAAATAGCCTTTTTATTTCTTGCTKTCTGTTATTACAAATTTAATTAATTCTATTTCTGTATCCTGCCTCTGTAGTCAAAGTAATAAAGGTGTAGTCATTGAAAATGCTGAGCTTTCCATTGTCTTTTTTCAGGGAGATGCTGGGGCTAGCAATAATGTTACTGGTCCTAAGGGTGAAAAGGGAAACGTAGGACGGGAGGTAAGCAAGTATTTCTATTTTGTGAAGAGAGGATTTGTATAATTGTTAATTTCTAATTGGCTGACTGGTGACCAAGGAGGTTTTTGTTTGCTTGCATTTTGCTTTTAATATTTGTCTGCAACACAAAAAACTTGTAGGAGTTGCTTGATACAGTAAAAAAAAGAAAAAAAAATTAAAAATGTTTAAAAAGACAATGGAAGTATTCCCATAATATAGAGCTAARGGAAAATATGGTTTCAGTATAAATACATTATTCAACCACGAATTTACACCATCAACCTGAAAGGCTTCAAGTAATGGGTTGTCAGGATACTGTTAAAAATCATCCTGGGAAAAATGCGCAGGGTATCAACAGGCTGCAATCATTTTGTTATAGAACTTCTATTGCCTCAGGGTAGTGGCTGGACTCCATTTTAATCTGTAAATAGAATATAAGTTAGGGATATGCACTTGTGTAGTGATGTTTGAGTTTTTAACAGGTTTTTGAGCAATACTGCAAGAAAAGAAGCAAAACAGAAAAGCATGATGTGTTATCATTACACTATGCTTGGAAAGAATAAGCAAAGCTGATGGGTAGTTGGACAGTAATACATAAATGATGGTGAATGAAAGATTAAGAGGGTGGCAAACATGAGAAAAATCCACTATTTTAGAAGTTGRATTCTCTCTGAACAAGTAGAGCTGTATGCATACGCATATGTCTATGTAGAGTGCACTGAAAGCAGTAGAAAAAACTCTGAGGGTTACTTTTTGGAGACTAGTAGGGTTTTGATGACTCTTTGGAAGCACTTCTAATCTTAAGTAGTCCAACTGAAAGGCTGAAGTCAACAAAATTATTTCACAGAAGGCTTGACTTAGTATTTTAGCAGACATGTTTTGTCCAGTTTATAATTTTTGAATATAAATGATTTGCAGAAGGCAAGAATCAAYATTAGTATGACACAGCTGTTTGCAATGCAAATACTTAGAAGAAAAAAGAAAGAAGGAGTATGTAAAGAAGAATGTGCATGTAAAAGAAAAAAGAGGGAGTGTTTAAAGTGCTCTGTCATTACTTTGTTTTGCAGGGAGACCCAGGCCCACATGGACTCCAAGGAGAGCAGGGAGATGCTGGCCCCAATGTAAGAATAGTAATCAACATGGGGTGGAAATAACTAATAGAAGATACAGTGGGGTTCCCACTGAGGAAACCTATTTTTGTTTTCTTCCTGTTAAGCCTTCCCACCCTTCAAACTCCTGCAACGAGAGGGAACAAAAATCTTCTAAACTTTTCATAATGAAACATGTTTGACTTCAAATTGAGTAGCTTATATATAGCAATGTGTGTTCTTTTCTTTAAAATCAATAGTTTGCTTTCCTGTTAATTTCAGGTCTGATTCATGTGAAGTCACARGCTTTAAACTCAATTTCTTTTTCAATGAGCCTTAATTGCTTAATGATTGCACTCTAGAGAAATCTTTCTCTTCTTTCTGCCCTTGACTACAAGTTTTCTGTGCCTGTTCAAGCAGATAGATAAGTTCACTGGCAGCTGAGCTACTCCTTTTTAATTCACTGGAGACTGGAAATTGTGAGGGTACTTCTAGTCTGTCAGAATGGTGCCAAAATCAGGCATGACCACTCCTCAGTCAGGCTGCAAAAACATCCTAAAGGCCTCAAGTGATGTGAGGTTCAGCAGTAACATTCACCAGACCTGCTGAGCAGTGTGCAGCAGGAAATGGTACTATCCTCTGGGCTCACATAGAGAGAAGAGGGCTTTTGGTCTCTTTATTTTAGCCAAAGGGCAGCTGACTGGGAAGATGTTTTCCAGAATTTTGTTGAAATGTCTTCCATCTACACTGACTAAGGATCTAAAACCTTATTTCTTTTTGGAAAGGCTTGCTTGTGTAAGAATTTCTGTCCCAAATCCACCCTTKTCTCATTTTTTACCTTAAATCTTTCTGTGGAAATAATCTCGGATTTCTTTAAGCTGTGTTTGATTTTATTGTATGTATAATGTGTTTCATGATGAGCTGCTGTTTCACATATTGCTAAGTGTTTTGGATGTAATTTCCCATTCCACTGCTTCCTAGGGTGCAGCAGGTCGAAGAGGCCCTCCAGGTATAAAGGTGAGTACCTGACCCTGCTGCTCCCTATYTATGTGCAGCTACATGGCCAACCTGAGTGCTTGCTCCTCTTAAGGGAAAAGTTTCATTGTAAGCCAAAACACAAGTGTTTAACCATCAAAAGTCTATTTCAAGCCAAGGCAGCCTTTGAATCTCAGGTGGATGTAGCAGAGGCCCTCCTGACTTGAAAGAACTGGAAAGGAGTTTTCATCAAAATAAAATGACAGTTACTTTTATTATTAGGGCAAATATGGGAACGTARCTAAGAAAAAGACTGTCACTATAAGTGACAGGAATGAGTAGTTAGGCTGCAAATTCTGACAGTTTATTCCTCCTTTGCTGCGTGCACACAGAGATTYGCATGATACACACATGCAGCACTGATAAAATTAGGGCAAGTTCTACCTGATGCTTTTGCTAAAAATAAACATAACAGTGTTAACTGCAGCTATGAAAATTGGCTCAGATTATAATCAAGATTTTGAAAATAAGGTCCGAAGTCAATATCTAAAAGAATATAGGATGTAAAGAATGGGTCAAGCCCACTGCATGCTGACTGATCATTTGACAAAGATCTTCTGGTGAAAAAATCTCTTATGTCATTGAGAGACGGCAATCTCTCTCTCTCTCATTTTTAGGTGGTAATCCTGTTTTTTCTAGATTTACACCCCATAGAGTCACAATGAAAGAAAAGTTTCCTGAGATACTCTTAGTAAAGACATCGCTCCAATTCTCTTAAATGATAGTTCAGATAATGTTCCTGGGTTTCTTTTCTGTCCCAGAATATGAATTACAAAATACAGTTATGAAAGCAAATCCAAAAGCMKCTATATTCAAGGATGGATTAGTGTRGGTAAAAAKTAAMTTSTAGGTATGTTCAAGTATAGGTTATATGATCATTCTAGAAAACTTTGCCTTAGCACAAATGGTTCACATTTGACCCAATCTCTCTACCAAGTTGCTAACACAAGTAAGGAAGATGGTATATACCATGGTATAACATTTCCCCTTTATCTTAGTGTCTATAAATCCAAGGAAATGTTCCAATTTTGTGTATAGSACTGTCAGTACCAGCAGGATGGAATATGTCTTGAAGTCCTGGCCTCTATTGGATTATGGGGAATGGGAAGTGTTGTAGCCCCTAAATAAATGTGCAAACCAGCATTTTGAGTAGGCCAAGGGGAAAATGCTAATAAATAATAACAAGAATAATCAAAGTAATGCAATACGGAACATCAATTTCAGTGAAGGAAGAAGACTTCTAGGAGGGGGTAGTGTCTTTTATGGCAGTAATATTTTTTCAACAGCACAGTGTTTGATCTGTCTCTGATTTCTGGGCTTCCTGTCTGCTTTGCTATACCTTTATTATTTTTTTTCCTGTGTGCTGCAGCCAGGTAACACAGATTTTTTTACATTTAGAATTATTCAAATTAATATTTCATTAATTTCTGAAAGCCCCAATTTGGATTTCACTTTGAGAATCCAGAATTTTCACTGAGGTATTGAAGATAGGAATASACTGGAAGATTTTGATCCCATCTGCTTTGGCTGTTGCAAGGGATCAGTGAAACTTGAAAGATTAAGACCATTTTATAGTTTTTTCCTCTTTCAATCCCAGAAATCCTTTATAGGGTTTATGAAGGCATTTTAGATTAAAATATTGAATAATATTCATCAAGCCTGGCTCTTAATTATTCCAGTCCTTGCTTGATCACACAGAAATCCATTTCTTAGATAATTATGAAACGTTGTGGGATAGGAAACCCTATCAACAGGTTTTCCCCCTGTTGGATTGCAGCTGAGCTCTGATGAATGTTTGCATTATTCTGTCAGGTAAAAGCAAAAAGAAATAATCCGAGTAAGCTATGGGGGTAACAGGACTGAAACTGTGGAAGTTTCTGTAGAAGTCAGTGGAAACGGATCTGTATCGTATCTTGGTTGTACTTGGTTTTACTAACAAGCACARGAGCTCTGATGTGGTTAGAGAATCAGAACGTTCAACTTTAGTATATTCACAGAGTAAAGCATTAGTTGAACCTTTTCATGTAGTTGAACTTTAGTTGAGATAATCCTCTTCATCTCCATGGAAGTCCCCTCAGCCAGTGATGAGGCCACTCTTCTGTAAAACGGCAGGAATGAAGAGAAATGACTGAAACTCACAGCAACAGAGAACTTTTATACTGTTTTCATTCAAGTACTTGATAATCAGCTCTGGCTTCTAAAAGTACAATAAAAAAATCTGTCTGGGTCAGTAGGCATTGAAAGGTAGGCACCAATCAATGGTCAAACACAGGTAATGTAAATATCCTTGACTGAAAAGGTGTAAAAAGTAAATGACAAAGAGAATGCACACTTCTGTCTTCAGAATTGCACATCCCCTGGAGAAGSAAGATGGWGYAATAAACCCTGTAATATGACAGTGRCACYCATCCTTGAGATGGGTGAGATTTTGGGTGCTGTGTTCTCCCACTGAGATCTCTTACATGGCCGGACATTACAAAGCTGTCGCAGGATGCAGCTCTGTCAGCAAAAGTTATGATAGTTCCACAGTGAAGCTTTGCTGGTGTCCCTGGGCCAGAAAGCAGAACTATTTAGTCTGTGGGATCTTCAAGGACTCTTCTGTGCATCTGCTTTGTAAGGAAATATGATATGGCTATTACCTCTGGAAGAGGAAGATTTTGTGCTGAAATGGAATAAAGAAGAATCGCTCTTTCAGATAGAGAAGATAGGTATTGGTGAGATACTCAGGGACAAAAAAGCAAATTAGGGACAGTGACCCAGGATTCACCCACCTAACACCTGAAGACTTGTGTTTGGTTTAGCTGTTGATAAAAGGCACTGAAATAACACCTTCATCAACAAATTTATAACGATCCTTGCAGTCAGCATGAACTGCAGTTCATCGTGTGCTAAGAAGGATTCCTCCCAGGACTTGTGGCTCCAATTGTCTGTACCTTTTTGTAATAAAAGGAGACAAACTTTTTTGAATATTTAAAACAACACAAAGAAGCACAGCTAGCCGCTCTTAACAGTCAAAAGTAGTCATCAGGCAGAAGGAGCAGAAAGTGTGTGGTATCACAGAGGTGTTTCTCACAGACRAGAACAGCACTGTAGTCTGTGTGCAGGAAACAAAGAAAATAGTGAAGAGGGAAAGGAGAATAAATTAAAGGAAGGCAAGAGAAAGAGGAAAAGGCAGGGTARAAGAAAGGACAAACACTTTTCTGGGTTTTGATTTAAAGTAAATTTAAGTAGCTGAAAACTTTATATTGGTTTTGGATTCTAGTAGAGTGTGCCTAAGAAATTTATCCTTTTTCATTAGAGTCAAAATTACTTTTGTGGAATTCTATTTCTACCTGATTTTTTTTACCTCTGGTAATAACATATACTTGCTGATGTTCCATTTTACAGTGTTCTTACTCTGACTGTAAATTTACTTTCTATTTTGCTTTTGGCTTTTTTTTTTTCTGTTGTAATTTTTTTGTTTCATTCACATGGTGGAGAATGAAGTTCAGTCTTTTAAATTAATTTTTCCTCCAAAGGTTCTTTCCAGAACCATCTCTTTCCCAAGAATTTTCAGACATATGTTTATGATTTCTCCAGTGAAAGGGGGTCTGCAAGGCCTGGAATATCTTGGTGCTAATYGTCACCATTTTAGTCAATGCAGAAGACAGTGAGTATTTCTTAAGGATGTCAGTTAAACTGACTCATCCTCAGCTTTATGGAGATGCGAGCTGGAAAATTTTTTTTCCATTATCAAGGCAGATTTGATTGGCCTCACCAGAGTGAAATATTGGGAGTAAAAAGGGATCTAATTCTAGTGTGATTGTGAAGTCATGATTCCTCTCAGAGCCATTCTCCGTGGGTAAGGAGARAAAGAGATCTGCCCTTGTGGTGAGGCTTTGTAAACTTTTGGTCTTTGCAGTGGACAAGGGTAATGCACAAATATTGCTGAGACATAGTGTAAAATGTATTCAGCAAAATAAAATTGACCTTTTCTGCTGCACGTTTTATATTCATCACACCCCCTAAAAAAAAACCAAAGAAAAGCGACTCTTCTGCTTTTGATTTAGTTTTCTTCAACAGTAATTTGAAGCTGTTTGGAAACTGAGAGCACTGAAAAACATTCTATCAAGTCATACTCTGTACAGATATTGAATTATTATCTTTTGATGTACAAATGACAGRTACTAATTTGTCTGGGTTTGTTGTTGTTTTCTTGGATTTTGTTCTGGCAGGGTGAACAAGGAGATCTGGGGCAAACAGGTTACTCAGGAGAAACTGGTCTTCCAGGYCCACAGGTAAATAATAGAACCTYTGAGTTAGTKTTATGTTAGTTATGGAGAAAATAAWTTGTCAGCCTTGATCTTTTGTTTGTGTTTTGGAAAGCTTTGTTGGCTTCAGCTAATGAATATTGTGAGTAAGACTCATTCTTGCCGAATCTTTCCTGTAATCCTAAGGAATTAAATGTGGCAAGTTACATGGGTGCAACTTCTAGTGAAATTAAGAGGAAAAATAAGCAGCAAAAATAAGTAATTTAGTCAACATATCTCCAACTTAGATGATATTATCAAGCAGATATCTTCAAATGAATTAATCAGAAATTGCTAGCAATAAATACGTAAAATTTATTGCATTTACGAAACCAATGAGAAAAGCTTTGTGTTTAAAAATTTTGCTAGGTGGAGTCATTTTGAAGASAATTATCATGGCAGACTTCTTACTGTAGCTTCTAGTTTAAAGAGGCTCTAAAGATGGTTTTAACTTTACATTTTAGGATGGAGAAAACATGCGTAGTTAATAGTAGACTGCTTATGGCTTCTTTGTTATCTTAGAGACGTCAGTGAGTCTCTGAATCAGGCTGGCAGGCAGTGACCATCTCAGCTGCTTCACACAGGCAAATCCTTAGAACCAACAGCCAGAAGTTTCACCTGTCAAATAAGGCTTGTGAAACAGGCACTTGGATTCTGGCCATTGCAACAATATGTTTGTCATTGAAAGGCTGTTAACATTGAATTGACTTTTTGTTTCAATGATTCTTTATGTCAGGGCCCAAGAGGACCGCAAGGGATCAGAGGACCTCCAGGACCACAAGGCTTGCCAGGCCCTCTGGTTAGCATTAAATAACATATTCCAGGTGTAAACATTAGGGATTTTCATTCTCAGTGTTGATGTTGTTCTTACAAAGAGTTTTCAAAAGGCTTATAAAAAATAGAAACAGGACTTTTCGGTGTAGTACTTAAGGAAACAGATGTTCAGTCTCATATGATAAAATAACTGTCTTGAAAATAAATTTAGGTGGGTGAATAGCAAGTGTTAGGGTGTTACGAGGTTGCARCTACTGAGGACTGTCTGCTGAACTTCTCACTTTTGTGATGCTGTTGATTTTGGGGATTCTTGTTCTGGAATTATACCGTTGTAACTCATGACTGGAATGTCTTATGCTRTCAGCTTTGGTCATCTGTTTCACTCAAGTGATGCTCATGCTTACATATGCAGTTATATGTGTGCATTGATATTTTTGTACACATATGCATGTGTTAACTAGGTAAGTATGTAGATAGAAAATAACATTTATGTCAACCTTGATAGCATTTTGAGAATTTTACGACAGTTGTATAGATGACAGAAAATTAGTGGAATGATAGCTTGACCATAACTCTTACCTGTTATCCTCAAAAGCCTAATAATTTTACTGATTCTGTAGTAATTTCAAGTGGCAATGAATCCTTGAGGGAAGTGAGTCCTTGGTAACTTCACTGAGTACCTTTTAACTAGTTATTCTTATTACAGGGCAGTCTGGGAACTCCAGGTTCACCTGGCTCTGTTGGAAAGTTAGGTGCAGGAGGAGCAAAGGTAAAGATTTTTRAAAGTCTAATTGCAGCAATTTAACAGTGTCATTCATTTAAAACTCTAACCAAAGAAGCATGGACTAACAAAGGGTTMGTTCCATTCTGTGAAACATGTAGAATGTTAAGTTTTATAAATATTTTTAGATTGCTTGGCAAGATAAGTGATGTGCTCAARGTAATCTTACAGGTGTCAGAGCTATACTAAGAAGTTTTTAATGTTGCTATGACCACTGACGTAATTCCTCTGGTAGTTATGGTTCTGGATGAGACCTGGCTTCTCACAAATGGAGCAGAAAKAAGGCAGTGCTGATCCTTGAGCTTGTTTTATGATTCCTAGAATCTGCCCAATCCACTGAAAATACCCACCAGTAAATCATAAAGTATCTATCTCAGGTCAGAAGGGATCCATGAGAAACATCATGTCCAACTCCCTGCTTCTYGCAGGACTACCTAAAGCTAAACCAAAGAGASCATCATTMAGATGCTSYTTGAMCTCTGACAGAWTTTGTGCTGTGACTACTTTTCTRRGGARCCTGTTCCAGTSACCAACACTGGATCAGTGACTTCACCCTTGGGTGAAGAACTGTTTYCTAACATCCAGTYTGACCTTCCCAGTTCAGAGAAGCAYAGCTGCTTATTTTAACTGGGTTTTTCTAAAGATTCCAAACCAGTCCAAGAAACCCTGTCTGTTATAATGTCTATTTTAGAGGAATGCACATGTTGAGAAAAACTGAGTAAAAATGAAGTTAAACAGAAAGGCATATATGAACAGGTTGTTCACATAGTTATAACAAATGTTATTCCTTACTTTTCTGTCATTTATGGGTGTTGATATGGGTGAGATTTCATTTAACAAAAATACCTCAATTTACGTGTTGTTGCATCTTGGAATTTAAAAATGACAAATAATACCAAACTTACAGTCTGTTTGAAGGGTTGTAACATTCAGTGACAGAGAAGTGTCAGAAGATCAAAGTGCTACTGTGAAAAGAGTCACTGTGTGAAAACATATATTAAAACAGWGACAAAAATTGGGAAGATATATAGAAATTTCCATCATACATTCAATTTTCTCTGTCTGGTTTCATGCTGTTTAATATTAGAGTYTTTGTTAGAAGAATGCTCAATTAGAAACTGAAAACAAAAATGGAMCTGAAGAAACCCTGCAAGAGAACTAAGAGCCCAATGCAGGCAGCCTGCCTGAGAAACATGGTTTTCTATCAGCAGGAGCTTTAGGCTGGTAGAATTCCAGAATATGTCCTACTACCATTAAGATTTTTCCAAACCCCACTTTTTTTTTCCACTTGTAATTCTTTATAACAGTGGGAGATTTATTAAAAATGCCTTTGGGGTTTAACTGCATAGATGCTCAGCATATTCTGATTTGCCAAAACCTTTCCAGTTTCACCACCACGAACAGTCAATGAAACGTGTTTGTAATGGAATGCTTTTGATCAGCATCAAGTTGTCTATAAAATGTACAGGCATACTTCAGTTTAACAGACAAGCTTGCATTACAGAAAGAATTCTCCTGAATGAGCCAAACTAATGGCTTTTGTGTTTCAATTATAACAGGGTGAACCTGGTGACCCTGGAGAGAAGGGCCTGGTTGGACCACCTGGACGGAGGGGCATTCCTGTGAGTCTTTCTGCCTTAATTCAGGGCCCCTGTATTTTAATACATATACATCTGAATCAGTACAGTTCATTCCCTTCTACTTTCTCTATTCGATACAATTAAAATGATTTAATCTTTGGTTCTCAGTTTCCTTATGGACACCAAATTTCTTGTGGGCTAGAGTGAATATCTTTCCCCTCAAATTCCTTAGAAGAGAGAAAGTATAATAAAGGTAGGGCACACAGTGAAAAGGAACTGTGACCTCTATCTTTGTTTTCCCTCTACAAAGGGGGGAAACTGTTTTTCCCCTAGTTTTGCCATCATTTGCTAGTATTTTGAGACTGTGTTTTGATAGCTGGTCCTACTTCATCAGTCTTAACAGCTTGGGCACCAAATTGTAATGGGACATTTTAATTCCAAAATAAAATTTGATATAAACCTAATCCTCTATTAAAAGTTAACTCATAGTATATTTAACATACACAGGGCATTGATGGCAGAGATGCCTATGGTCCTGAAGGAAGCAAAGGAGCAAAGGTAARTGCTTCAAGTCAGAGAGTCTCTCAGTCTCCATTCTACTGTGTCAAATCAAACATGACMATCCATATTTGATTAAAAAGAAATATAAGACATGCCAAGTACATTTGTAAGGTTCAGTGAAAGGCTCAGGAATTCCACAAGCCTTGTGAGACATTTTTCCATAGGATATTCTTTTGAGGACCACTCACTCTTACTCTTTCTCTGATGTGTTTWTACATGTGGAGGATTGTACATCTTGGAGTACACAGTGCTTTCTTCCCACTTCAGCCTGCCTGATTGGATGCTGCTATTGGCAAATATTGGTGGGCCAGCCACTATGGGCTCTTTTAATTTTTCTTCTTTCAGAGGAGGGATTCCTTAACTACCAAGGTGARGGTGATACTCTCCAATAATCCTCACTGTTTTAATGTGAAATATTCTGCCTCGTGCTTCTACAGTCAGCAGTAAGATCTGAGGATTAGCCTCTGGATTGCTAAGAAATTCTTATCAATCCCTTCACAGTGCTTAAAACAAAAAGTAATGAAATGCATACTTCTCTGAAATTATACAAGAACACAGCTAAAATAAAAAGTATACAGAACGGATGAGGTCAAAATCATGGTCAAAAGTATACAGAACAGATGGTCAAAACCAGTGGATCAGTCCATGAGCAAAATGGTTAGGACGTTGGAAACATCTGCAATTCTCCTTTCAAAGGGTTTGTGCACTATTAGTCCTTGTTGCTTGTAAAATGGAAAGGGTCTAGTGAATCTCATTTGTAGGTCCATCTGTTTCACTGTCTTTTTTTTTTTTGTGGGAGAACCTGAGTATTGCACAAAGCCACAGAAAAGATAAGAAAATCTTTCCAAGAGCCCATCCAATAGATTAACTCATTTTTCTAAAATGGCTTTTGGTACAATGGTTCTTCATACTTCGTACTTTCCCATCTCTTCTTCTTAGCTCTAACAATTCCTTTGATGGGAGAGTTTCATAGGTTACATGTGTTTTCTATGCAAGAGGACAAGGACATATATAAGTTGTATGATTTCTGATGTTTAGAAAAGATACACTTCACTTCTGATTGGTTTTTGTGAGAGTTTCTGTATTTCTCATGTATGAACAAAGAACACACCAGAAACCAAAGTAACTGAAAAAAAATGATGAAAACCAAAAAAAAATGACTTCTAATAAGGCAAGAGACTATCATGATACTGTTGTTTAGTCTGGATGGTGCAAAATTTTGAAACTGCATTCAAACAGTGAGTTCTGAATGTTATACTTTACTCATATTTGCTACACATTAGTTCCAATGCACGTTAATATGAGGCCTAAGTAAGTTTTGATAAAACACTTCCTTAAGAAATAGAATATTGTTGAAAATTTAGAAACCATTGGGAATTCTTAAAATGTTCTTCCTTTAGATGAGCAAGGTATTAATCTAAAATGGTGTAATTTGAGACCAGAGTAGCAGCTATTATTACTCAAACAAATTCTAAAATTGAGAATAATTTTGAAGTTGTTTTTGGTTTAAAGATAACAGACTCTAAACAAATCACAAAGTTCTAGATTTTTATGAAATCTTTGTCCTGTCTTTTCATAGGGAGAATCTGGATTCATAGGATATCCTGGTCCAGAGGTATGATTAAACAGGCATGTTCAATCTTTTTGCCTTGTTTTACATTATTCTTATTTGGAAGAGGTTGCCTGTGTTTCTGTCTGTCTTCTCCTTTCCAATAAATTCTGGATTTCCTTAATTTTCAGGGAGAAGAAGGAGATCAGGGCATTCCAGGAGCTGAAGGACCCAAAGGAATTAGGGGTAGAAGAGTAAGAATTATRCATCTGCTAACTCTGTGAAGTGTTCTAGAAGTAAAAATCTTACAGCCAGTGTTTTCTCGCCAGAAGTTTTTTAATTGGTTCTTTTATTGCCATAATTTGGTCAAGGGGTCTTGAGAGAGTGCAGGTCTCAGAAATGTTAGTTGCTAATAATTSTTAGGAATGGTAATCTATGAAAATGCAAGATCCAACTGACAATATCATTACAAAGTCTTTTTTCCCTGATGAAATTTGGTACCAGTGCATGCAATTATAAAGAATAAAACTTGTATTTCTAYTTTTAGGGTAATGCTGGCACACCAGGGTCCCTGGGAGATCCAGGTGACCAAGGGCCATCAGGACCCATGGTAATTTTATTTTTCATTTGTTAAAAAATAAAATTTTGGTTTTCTAGAAATCACCCTTAAACTTCTCTTAAACTTACTATTAGATTAATGGAATATCTAGCAGTGTTTCACGTGATAAACTATGCTTAATTGGTATGGCAGTTACACAGGRTTATGTCTTGCCCATGGATTTGTGTGCACCTGTTGCTGGAAATGGAACAGCAACAATATAATGCCAGCTAGAACATCTTGCACAGGACTTGGTATTGTCTTTAGGCTGTGTAAATATTTAACTAAAAGAGCAGCAAGTACTGAAGTATAGAACTGAATTGATCAGCTGAAAGCTGTGCAATTTTTTCATTTGAAAAGAAAAAGCTGTTTAAAATCAAACTTGCAGTTACAGACACTTATTTAAAGCTTAACTGTAACCTGTTAATCCATGTATGCAAGTAGATATTTTTCAGTGTCAGTGTTCTGCATTTTACACAGCAAAATGTTTTATTCTTTACCTAAGCAGGTGAAAGGATTGTGGATTTCAGTAGGATTTAGACTAATCTTTAAGGTGGTTAGGAAAATCCCTCTATGTGTCCAAGTTTATCCTGTGGCAATTCTGAAAATCAGCTCCATAATGACCCGATTCACAACCATTAAAAATTTTCTTGTTAAACTTTCTTAAGCTTAGTCTTYCAGTTTAAATGTGGAACCTTATTGATAGCAGTATCTTTACTTGTATAAAATGGCCCACAGGATGCGTGCAACTTTGAAAACATTTTTTTTCCTTCATATTACCCTGTGTTGATAAATCAATGTACCTGTCCCAATTTATTTTATGATGCTGGGCACAACAATGGCTAAGAGTGCCAGCTGGAGTACAYTGGCAAGACTCACAAAAATAACTGTGTCTGTCAATCTGTAATCTGTATCTGTCTATCTGTAACTCACCAAAGTTACAGATAGATAAATCTTGTGAACTGATGAGCCACAGTTGCAGGCCTTGCCAGTCCATGGTCCAAACAGAGATATTTCAAGTTCTAGATCTCCTCTTCAAATGTGGAAATGAAAGTAGATCTTAGGATTTATGGTGCTGGTGGGATTATTGCAGTAACAGCGCATCAGTGAAATGAGAAAGTGGGAACTCTGTGCAAAGTGGAAGAGATAGGGATGCAAGAAAAAGTTTAACAACACTTTTATTTTGAAAAAAAAAAAAAAAAGCTGCTTGGAGTCCTGTCATATTTCCAGAGCTCCCAAGGAGAAGGTTGCAGAGTAGGCAAAGCTCTCTAGATTGGCTGAGCAGTCATGATGTGCTCATGATCTGCAGGATCTTTCAAGGCAGAACTGTGGAGACTGTACCATGCAAGAGGGGAGGGTAGCTTGTCCCACACCAGATGTTGGAAAGTATGTAAAGTGCAAATAACTGAACCATAGCACGTAAATTACTGTTTATGAAGGAACTCCAGTTCTKAATTATGTTGGTCCTCAAGGGCAACAAGTATTGAAGATTTAAAAACCATTAAGGAAAATGGACTGAGAAATAAGTCTGAGCAGTAGACTGCCACTCTGAACAGGTCCACAGAAATCTCTGCTGGGAACTGATGTCTCCTCCTATTTYAAATTCATAAAATACTTGTTAGGAAACACTGAATGCCTGCGTTTTCTTTGGGCTACAGAGTAATAGATGTAAATTAATAATCATGGTCTGATTGTTTGAACCTGTGTTTAATTTGTTTCAGGGTGCCAAGGGATCAATGGGTACCATTTCAATGGATGTAAGTAATCAGCTTACAGCTAACTGTATACTCCATGGAATTATCTGTCTTAGTCTTCAATTTGTAAGCACCAATAGTAATGAGCACAGTTAGCTGTCATAAAACCATATCCTTTCACGTGCTTGTCAGAGTGGGCAGTGGGTTCTTCCATTCTGCAAACAACCAAGGAATGAGAAACAATTATACATGTGGATTAAAGCCATGTCCAAACTTCTACAAACTGTTGGACAATTAATATTCATTTATCTGTTTCTTCACTCATATCAGTTCACACACCAACTCATGTTAATGTTACTTTTTCACCTCTTGTAAAGGAAGGCATTTCTTCAGCAACAGTTATTTTCATTGAGAATAGAAGTGCAGGATTCAGAATCCCAATCCCATGCAAAATGAACATTTAAGGCTCCATGAATCCTTGCATGGATTACTACTTGCAGGCAATACTATTGCAGRTGTGTCTTCTCCCTCATGGACCTTTCCCTATGTGAGTTTCTATTGAAATGTCCATTCTTTTATGGAAATGYCATTGACTGGTGATGTCCTGGATCAGTTTATTACGCAAAATAAAGAATGCATAAATGATTTCTTAATACTCCAGAACTAAATGCCAACAGATAAGGTGTAAAAAATGTGCCTAGCTCCTGCTGCAAGGGAAGGGAGTCCTCATGCTGCTTGAAATAAAGAGGAACTGGATTGTGTGATTCTGGATTTACTGTAATGAGAGTTATTTCAGGAGCTGGGATATGACCCTCAGCTTAAACCAATAACAAGATTGCCAGTCTGGGGTGGTCTGGGATTTGCCATTAATTMGTTTTTTATTTTGAACTTGCAGCCTTGTGAACTTGTGAATTTTACCCGAAAAAACTGCCGTAAGTGGGGAACATCCTCTTTTACCTCTGGTTCCACCTAGTCACKGTTCTTAAATGTAATCACCTGCATTAGAAACCCTATAAACTGGTAGTTTGTATCTGGGTTCAGTTTGACTGATAGTTGTTAAATGTAATGGGGTTTCAGCAGGTATATGAAGTGAACTTATGCTTTTTGCTAATTTTTCCTTTCTGTTTATTGCAAAAAGTACAAAAAATACAACTTTTCCTCATTAAAGATTAAATGAATCTTTGGTATTGTGCCAACACCCTTTGGGGAGACCTCTGAGAGAAGGCAGTATTTGTTTATCAGCTGTTCTCCAGATTAGGTGTGTTCATTCTCAGATGTGTGCTCAGCCRAACCCAGGACAATTTTTAAAATTTTTATCCAATAAAATTGCACCACTTTGAGTATTTTATAGTAAAAGAAGAATGTTTTCTTCCACAGACAGTTGTCTGAACTTTGAGTCAGACAACTCTTTATTGAAGGCAAGTGAATACATCACTATTTTAATGCATGTGAGTGCAAAATAATTTAATTGTTCTCCCTCTCTTCCTTCCAGYGTGCTCATCAGGTAAGCTCATCTGGTCTCTGCACATCCATTCTTTTACAGACTTAAAAAAAAAAACTTGTAGAAAAACTTGTTTGACTTGTAGAAAGGTTCTCACACAACTTTTCTGCTTCGATATAGACACATGTCCAGCTTATCCAACTGAAGTGGTATTTGCCTTGGATATGTCTGACGATGTTACACCAGCTGCATTTGAAAGAATGAGGAATATTGTTACGTTATTGCTGAAGAACATTAAGATCAGTGAAAGCAATTGCCCAACAGATGCTCGTGTCTCTGTTGTTTCTTTCAAYACCAACATGCGCTACCTCATCCGATTCTCAGAATTCCAAAAAAGCAACTTGCTRCTGCAAGCAATCCAGAGAATCCCACTAGAAAGATCCACTGGAAAACGAAACATTGGGGCGGCCATGAGATTTGTTGCAAGAAATGTCTTCAAACGYGTTCGTCAGGGCATCCTCACAAGGAAAATTGCCATATTTTTTGCCAATGGTCCATCTCAGGATGAAGTTGCCATCARTACAGCTGTGCTTGAGCTGAGTGCCTTGGATATCACTCCAGTGGTTATTGCCTTCAGTGAAGTGCCAAATGTCAGGCGTGCCTTTTCTGTAAGTAGACAGCCTATAGAAAACTGAGTCAGTCACCCACTTGCTGAGTTTCTGCTAATATTTGAGTGGATTCTACTCTCAAGCCAGTTAAAGGAACTGTCCAATTCCTTGTTAGAAAGGGGTACTTCTAAAGGTTGCTATTTTAATAAAGAAACAGTGATTCACTTGACCATAATATACACCATCTGACATATTTCTGTGCATGAATTATTAATCATTCGTGCTTTAAGGGCAAATCAGAGAATTTCCATAAGGTTGTGTTAATGTCACTTATTTACCTATGCCATTATACTTCTGAAATTGTGCAAACTAACAAACTGCAGTCCTAGTTTCTAGAAAAATTAATAGAAGCACTAGAAAACTAGAAAACTAGGGTTTTTTTTCAAATGAAAATCAAATTAACAAAGCCCATGATGATATCTTTATTGCCATTGGTACAGGAGAAAATGATGAAATTTTGTTTTAAAATATGACCATATAAAAGATAGCAAACAAAAATAAACAGTCCATTTTAAAAGGGCAAAAGAAAAGCAATTCTAAATATATTTAATGTTTCATAATGTAGATTCTATGGTCTCTGTCTTTTCAGTTTGTTTTAATATCAACTGTGCTCATTTCTAACTTTTTCAAAACAGAATTCTTTCCAGCGGTTATTTCCTCAAAATTGTCCTTCTARAAGGAARYAYRTTCACTTGTTCATGATAAAAAGTGYAAAACTTGGCGTCTAACTTCTGATCTAGCAACATCTAAGTCAGCCCTTTATTCATATTATATTTATTCTCATGCAACCTTATATTTGTTGGTTGATTCATGTGTTTTTCTGGCTGAATCATAATTTAGCAGAATAAAAAATTCTGCTGACATATGAGAAAGAAGCTTATAGTTTATTGCCTGGGTTGCTCCACAGGATAAGCAAGAACAAGAAGCAGTATTTTCTTTACTTAGTATAAGCAGATTATAGCTCTGAATGCATATGACAGCATCTGGTGACTTTACTTAAATCAGTCTTCAGAGCAGAAAAGTTTAAAAGAGCTGCTTAGCAAGGAGAAAGGCTAAAAATTCACTGCCCAGTGCTCCTTGAAGTTTACAGTGATGGCAAGGCAACCAACCCCACCACAATCCCCAACTAAATACAACTTCCCTTTTACTTTCAGATGGACTTCTTCCCTTGTGGTTGAGAAATGGTATAATCTTTATGATCCYACARGTYTCTAGCCACACATWCTTACTGGCTTTACTTTGCTTTAGRAKCTTCWGTTTAGACCTCACTCACATAGTCATTGCCAATTCTAATTCCTTTGAAGAGTTCTGTCTATAACATTCTTTACAGACATTAATTTGTGTTGTGTATAACACACAAAGCTGAAGTTTAATGAAAGAAGTAATTATTTCTTTGTTCACCATTCTAGCTTATACATATATGCTCATTTCCTGTAGTATTATGATATTTTAGAGACAGTTTTGTTTATCTTAGTTCACAAGGAAATGTTTTTCCATTGGATCACATTTGGATGTGGTTGGGTGCTTGTCAGTGAAATTGTAGAATGTTGGAGCTTCTTCAGAGTTCCTCAAGCATTTCTGTGGTTAAATCTTCTACTGTGAATGATTGTCTTTCTTCAGACGACCACAGGAAACATATAGGTTGTTCTCATGCTAGAACTTTCTAATGCTAGAATTTTCTCTCCTAAGAAACCATCTTCATTCTTTGTCCTAGAAAGAGCTGAGATGTCCTGTACTTTACTCTGTATAAAGATAGCACCCTATTAAGAAAAGAAAAAGTGGTAATCCTTCATTGGCAGAAAAAGAAAAAAATCTTAATATATTTTGGCTGACTTCTTAAAGTTACTTTTTTGTCTRTTTTAAAACTTAGATTGATGACACCAGAAGATTTCAATTATTTGTTTGGGAAASACAACAGGATGAAAATTTGGAGGGCATCACATATTGCACACTTTGCTTTGGTAAGACATTTTACAAATCACATCTGTTGCATTGATCTATTTACCATTCCATTACCAAATTCTGTAACTTTTATTTTGCAATGTGATTTTGGGGAATTTTTATGGAATATCTTAAATACATCTGTGCTAAAATATAAAAGACAAATGTTAATGAAAAAAGCATTGGTCAGAATTCTAGTGGCATAAATGGTTCTACAAAGAGTTTGTAGACAAAAATTAAGAGCCAATTCCTTATATACCCTTGCACCATCACTAATCCCATGGATGGTTGCATGGAGCTCAGCCCAGCTCTGCTGTCCAAGGGCGTCTCTGAGTGTTCAATTCCAGGATGGCTTACAAGACAGCGCTGTCACTGTTTCTTGTCATCTCCAAGAGATATTTCACTTCCTTACAGGGAGCTTTTCTGTCTCTGGCATTCCTGCTTCRAGCCAGTTAAACCCTTTCTGCAACTGGGCCTTCTTGCCCTCTGTGACAGATCAGTTCATTGTTACAGAATACCACTGCTGAGGAGTTACAATTCCTCATCAGTGGATGGTAAGAATTAGAATCTCAGAACCACAAAAGCTGTGTAATTAATTTCTGTCTCCACCACATGAAATGAATTACTGTGTTTAGCATTTCCTTTTTAACAGAAATACACTTAAAATAGCAACATGATTTTAGGAAACCAGGCTCATTTGCTGTGAATTCTACACTGTGAGAGGGGGAGAAACTACTAAATGATAATATTTCAGAATGTTGAACAATGATCTGAGATGAAAAAATAGAGTTTGTTTCTGCATCCTTTACAATGTTTAGATTTCAACAAAAGAAAATTTCTCAAGGGAACTGTTATCAGTGAAATTTTGCCTTATTAATGTTTTTCTGCTCTCATGCATGAATAATTTCCCATGGTACCTCAAAACTTTCTTCAGCAAGACTCATCTGCCATTCCTTACTAGAACAAAAAGATTTCAAGCTCYCAAATTTTTGGTTAGTTGGTTGTTTTACATTAAAGTTCAAGAAAAATGAAATTAATTTTGTAGTGGGTTGGCGGTGACTGGATGCCAGACACTCACCAAAGCCTCTCTATCACTCCCCTCTGCAGCTGGGCAGGGGATAGAAAATACAATGAAGGGTTAATGAATTGAGRTAAGGACACAGGGACATCACTCACCAAATACTATCACCGGCAAAACAAACTCAAAGATATGAATTGAATTTATTACTGAAAAAATCAGAAGAGGATAATAAGAAGTAAAATAAAACCTTAAAACCAGCTACTTCGCCCACACTACTCCCTCCTTCCCAGCTCTACCTCATCCCCACCAGTGGCACATGGAAACAGGGAATGGGGGTTCTTCTTCTTCTTCCTCTTCTTCTTTTTCTTCTTCTTTTCTTCTTCTTTTCTTCTTCTTCTTCATCTTCTTTGTCTTCTTCATCTGCTTCTTCATCTTCTTTGTCATCTTTGTCTTCACCTTCATCATCTTTTTCATCGTCTTCGTCTTCTTCTTCTTCTTCTTCTTCTTCTTCTTCTTCTTCTTCTTCTTCTTCTTCTTCTTCTTCTTCTTCTTCTTCTTCTTCGTCTTCTTCTTCTTTGTCTTCTTCTTCGTCTTATTCTGAAACATATCACAGAGGCCTTTCCACCATTTCTAATGGCATGGCAGTGGCATGTCTCTGGCTGGCATTGGCTCTGCTGGACATGGAGGAAGCTTCCATCAGCCTCTTACAGAAGCCACCCCTGTATCCCCCTCCCACTAGCAAAAGCTGGCCATACAAACCTAATACGGATCTACGAGACAGTGTGATTTTTTTTTTTATAAATCATTGCTTTTGTTATATTTCTAAACAGTTCACTGCCTCTTGGTTCTTTCTCTCTAGATAAATGCAATCCAAGAACCAACTGTGAGGTGCCCTTTTCTCCCCCAGTTCTGATGGATATGGATATCACGTACATCATGGACAGCTCTCGCGGCATCAGCAATGAAGAGTTTCAGAGAGCCAAAGACTTTGTGAGCAATATGCTGGATCARTTTGTCGTTTCCTCACAGCCAAATGAATCATATGGAGGCATCAGAGTGGCACTGGTGCAGCAGGCTCCCAGGGGCTTCCTGCCTGACAGAAACCAGACACCTGYGGCCTTGGAGTTTGATCTAGTCACATACAGCAATAAAGATTTGATGAAGAAACACATCCAAGAGTCTGTTCAGCAGCTCGAAGGGCCRTCAGCCATTGCTACTGCTTTACAGTGGACAGTTGAAAATGTGTTCTTTAAAGCCCCCAGACAAAGAAAACACAGGGTCATATTTACAATAGTCGGAAGCAAAACAAGCACATGGGACAGAGAAAGGCTGAGAGAAATTTCACTCGGAGCCAAGTGCCAGGGATTCACCTTGTTCACTCTTGCACTTGGCAGTGATGTGAGTGACAATCAGCTGACGGAGCTGTCAAGCTCCCCCTCAGACCAGCACTTAGTGACACTGGGCAGGGTGTCCACACCAGAGATGGCATATGCTCAGAGGTTTAGCCGGGCATTCCTAAATCTTGTACAGCGTGAGTATCACACGGTGGCATTTGCTTAAGTTATGGAAAAAAAGACAGATGCTGTGTCGAAAAGGGTAGTTAGTATAGTTGTGCTAAATATATATGTGCTATCATTCAGCTATCCGTATCATTCAGGTCATAACTGAGCATCTAATCTTTCATGATTAGTTTACCTCAGATGTTGGACAATAATGAAAGAACCTCTTCTAGTCTCAAGTAGTCTTTTCCCACTAAGTTTTTATTTAATGTGTGGCTCTGTGGACTCTGGTTTCACTGAATATTGACCATTCTTCAGCGAAGAGAACATAATCATATTCCTGATTTAGGCCTGCATTTCTCCTCAGACCAATGGTCCAGATTTGTTGATCTTTTTATGCCTATTTAGGCTTTGGGACAGGTACAAGATAAATGTTTAGTACATTGGACGTTAACCTCTCTTTACCACAGTTTTTCCTCCTCTGTAGAGCAGAGAGAGGACTTAGTTTTCAAAACATTTTCATGTAGATTAGCAGGTTCTAGATGCTTTGACATGGAAACAAGAGAATATCAAGTAGGAAATTGTCACTTATTTAAAATCTTCACTAGAAGCATATACTTGGAGAAGTCAAAGTTTCTATAGAAGGGTAAATAATGTATTACAAAGCAAGACAAAAGTATAAAAGATTGGTTCAGGAGCCATTCTCATCTAGCTGATCTCTATAATAATTTTCATTTTTATGGACATAGTTTCAGCCACTGTGGATACAGTCTGTTACTTATTGAAATACATGAACTCCAGTTCACAAAAAAAGCCATGTAGTATGTTTTGTTAACCATGCTGGGGTTTGCAGGACTTTAAAACTCACCCATGTTATGTTTGCTTTCTCAYAGAAGGAATGAACAGTTATCCTTCACCTGAACTTCAGGAGGAGTGTGAAAACTTAGATCGGGGAGACATACAACAGGAAGCATCTATGACTGAAAGGTTGGGAATTACCTATTTAACTTTTTGAGYGTGTACCTCTGAACCTAAGATTTCTCCCTTTGGGTTAGTAGTTACATTCAAAGTARTTAGAATAGAAATGGGATTGGGGTCAAAAATTTTTTTCATGTTATTCAGAAGGAATGAACCAGATGCATTTTACAAGGTCATAGTGGTGTTTAAATATTTCCACCCCACCCCCCCTCTCTTTGGAAGGATACCTTTTCCTGGAATGGCTGAAACTGGTTCCAGTCAGGTTTTAGCYGACATGGATAAAAATGAAAGTGGAGTCATGAAGAATATGAAAGAGAACGCCAAAGTACCTGTACACACAATGCCAGAAATGAGAGATGATTATGAGGAGAATGAATATTTCACAGAGGAAGATGCTGAAAGGGAAAAGCCTCAAGAGTGTGCAAAAGCTCAGAAGAGCAAGAAAAACTTAAAAGCAACAGTAGAAACTAGAGGTGCCTGCAATGATTATGGTATGCTTCTATAGTAAGAAAATCTTTTTAAATTCAGTTGAAAGACTAAACGGTGAAGGACTCAGTTGAACATTTATACAAGATGAAAGATTTCCAATAATTACATTTTTCCAAAGCTTTTAGTTGMTGTATGTTTGTATTCACTCCAAGTCTATATATTAGTTAAAGACTCAACTACAGGTGTCATTATAACTTCAGTTTTCACTTATAATTTTTTGCAGTAACATCATATAAAGTTCTAATCCCCCTAAATACTAAAGTACTAAAATAGGTGATAATTTTAAAATCCCCAAGTTGCACTTTAATTAGTGAGTTACTTCTGCTGCTAATTTAACTCAACATGGAGAAACTAAATATATCTCTGCTACAGTCTGTTCCTGTATGAAGAACAGGATCCATCAGCAGAGGTATCAAAATATATGTTCTTCATGTTTTTAACTTTGCTTCCTAATAATGTTTTTTTTCATTGCAGATYTTCCATTAGATATAGGTATGGAAAGATGACTGTGTGATTGTCACTGATGTTCTTTTAACACTGTTGAGTGTTTTTGTTGTTTAAACTACAGTTAGAGAGAATTTATGAGAAAATAAATGAAAATATGTGTGCATAATTTTGGGTGTGGTAGCTCATTTCTATAGCTGTTATCATTTTGGTTTTCATCCCTCTCCACTTAAGAATAGTTCTGGAAATGTCTGGTAGCCTCATTCATGTTTAGAGAGGATYAGCAACAGGAAGATACATTGCGCTTTGTACTTTACAAATAAAATATTTCCTTTGAGGAAGYAGTCATGGTCACTGCACTTAAGTGAGAAGTGACCTAAGTCACTTATGAGAGATGTATGAACTGCTTTCACCAATCCTGTGCTGTAATTAGTGACCCAATAGTTTTTACTTCTAAAAACGTGTAGCCCAGTTCCAGAACTTGCCTTTTGAGAGATGTACCTTGTGCTCATCTCTTGCTTGAGATTTTTGCTTTCCAGTTGATTAGGAGAAGGTTATGACATTTTAAATCTTTAAGCTGGGTAGTTGTATTGGTGTATTTCTTGATTTCACAGCTCTTCCTCTAATGTCGTATGGACACCAAAGTCTAGAGCTGCCTTTCATTCTTCTTTTGAGTAACTCTGAATTTACATTGGTGAGAGATGATTAGATCTGTTCTTACTGAATACCAGATTGCTGCAACGTATGCTTCTCTCACCTACTTTGCTAATTTATGCAATTTGAATCTGTAATACTGTTTGATTTGGCTGAGAGACTACCATGGATAGTTTAACAACCTATGTATATTCATTTATGAAATTTTATTTATGGATACCAGTGTAAGAAGCTGGAATAAAGAAGAGGAGAATTATTAAAGGGTTTATTCTCCTAGTCCCTATGGACCAGGTACAGTGATTTTACAACCGTTTTAATTAAAATGTTACATTAGAAATTTAAATAAAAATTTTATGTTAGAAAATGAAAAGCCTTTTAGCATTCCTTCTATTTATGGCACTGAAAATCTTGTTTCAGGCATTCTTTCTGGGTTAAGCAATAATAAAAWGAGTGTCTTCAGACCACCCTGGCACTGTGGGGTTATAGATGAATATTTAGTGAATCTTTGTAAGGCTTTGAACCCTGGCTACTTCTTTTGTCTGACAGTTTGCACAAAATGTTACTTTCCCCTGAATTTACAATGCTGAGATGGGTGGACCTTTCTTTCATTAAATCTGTGTCTTATTTCCCTTTTCCAGATGCATGTGACCTTGTTCAAGATAGCGGAGAATGTCAGAATTACATTTTGAAGTGGTACTACGACAAAGAGCAGAAAATATGTGGTCAGTTCTGGTATGGGGGCTGTGGAGGCAATAAAAACAGATTTGAAACACAAGAAGAATGTGGATTCTTGTGTATAGAGTCTTCCTAGTTCAGAGACACTTAAATTACGTAATTCTTCAGTTAGACTATCAGGTTGATGTAGAAAAGTCATTCAAAGAGGAAGCTTTACATAGCCACACAGCTCCCATATTTCAGTTGAAATACTTGATCATAAAGTTATTATCTGTTAACTTAACTGTGAAAATAAAATGTAGGCTATTTCTCCATTGATCTAATATGTTTATTATTGAAAAACTTCTGTTAGCCAACAGTGCATTGTTTAAAAGGCRTAGAAGTATTCAAACTTGACTTTCTTCCATTTATTCAAAAACGTACACTTTCTGAATATACTGCATAAAATAAAACAGTGCCTCAGAGATTTTCATTAAATAACATCAAATGCAAGACACAAACATCAAAATGTTTTGAYGTTTTCTTACATTTATTTAGACCTCAAATGACAGAATTCCTAGAATGTAATTCACTTAAAGAATTTAAAAGATTTATTACCATAGAGTCATTCTTGGTTTATTTTTTTTCCTGAGTAATCCAACATGTGAATAAAATTAATCATTCTCAAATGTTTTACTTCTGCTATTAGTTTTTGAAACAGGTGTATGCATATTCTCATGGTGTGGCTTCTCCTTTGTAAATAAGCATTGGTCTCCTTACCTTGTTACCAGACATTAGACAAGTGCATTTATTTTAGAACATTCAATTTTCATGGTTCCTCTTGAGTACAAGAAAAAGTCCTGCGGACRTCTTCTGATTGAGGATAGAAAATGCAGTGCCCTGCAGAAGGGTGAGAGTCAGGTGGACTTTCCTATACTGATGACTTACCCAAACTCTGTTATTGCCCTTTTTATGGCTGTAGAAGTCATGGTGCATTTAACTTCGTCCCCTTAGGTCATTCTGCAGAGGTGGCTGTACTCACCTGTCATTTTGTTCTTCTCTGGATTCACCTACAAGATACAAGAATAGATCTAGTACCAGCTTTCTATGTGCTTCCTTGAAAAAAGATAAAACTATTAAACTAGAAGAAGAGCTGTAAAAATCATGCAGAAAATGTTTCTCACTGAAGAAATAAAGTGAAAAATTACATATATTCTACACATGAAGATGGATGSCACTGGACACAGAAAAATATGTGCCAACTTTCCTTAAATGAAATGTAAAATTTCACTTAAAAAATATAGGCTATGCTCTGATTGAGAGGAATCACATGCAACACAGAATGGAAGAGTTGGTATACTACTGACCCTATGGAAAGAAATTCTCGTCCACTTGTAGAAGTAGGTATTGGGGAATTTTAAGATCAGTATTAGAGGGGCMCTGCTTCCAGACAGGTGGAGAGGGATAACTGGGTTTGCTGGTCTGGTGGATTTGATGGCCTGGCATTATCAGTCCCACAGGAGTACAARGCTTTAGTAGACACTGGTGCACAGTGTACCTTAATGCCATCAAACTGCGCAGGAGCATAAGGCATTTATATTCAGGGAGTGACAGAAGGGTCCCAGCAGCTGACTATTGGAATCTGAGATTAGCCTGACTGGGAATGAGTGGTAAAAGCATCCCATCRTGACCAGCCCAGAGGTTCTGTACATCCTTGGCATAGGCTGTCTCAGGAGAAGGTCCCAAGAGAGAAGGTTTCAAGGGCCCAAGAGGTCTTGCCTSTTCTCTTGGATGASCCTTCTGTTGGGTTGCTGAAGAACAACAGATGCTGTCACTACCACAGCGATGCACTGGAGGCAATATTGCATCAAYTAAGTCTCCATAATTTCCACTCATAAACTGATTTGTTGAAGAGCCCAGGAGTGATCAGCAGGACCTGCTCACCCTTRAACAGCCCCATGTGGTCAGTAAGAAAGCTTAATGGAGGCTGACAGCAGACTATTGTGGCCTGAATGCAGTCATGCCACTGCTCAGTGCTACTGGACTGGGCGTGCTGGAACTTCCACACAAGCTGCAAAGGCAGCCAAGTGTTGTGCCAAAATTGACGCTGCAATGCCTTTTTCTCAGCCCCTTTGGTGGCAGAGTGCAGGGCACACTTTGCTTTCACTTGGAGGGATGATTGTACACCTGAAATCAACTGCCCCAGGGGTGGGAAAAAAAGCTCTATTGCCATGAACTGATCCAGACTGCACCGGAAGAGGGTGACACTCCAGAACACATGCAGTACATTGATGACACCATTGTGTGGGGCAATACAGCAGAAAAAGTTTTTGACAAAGGGAAGAAAATTGTCCAAATCCTTTCAAAAGCCAGTTTTCCCATAAAGCAAAGTAGACTGAAGGGACCTGCATACAAGATCCAGGTTTTTAGGTGCTTCTCCTGGCACCCTGATYATCCATGTTGGATTGGATGCTCAAAGGGACACTCCCCTCTGCACTGATCAGGCAACTGATGCTACATGGAGTCAATGGGCCACACTGATCACACAATGAGTTCAGATAAGAAACTCCAGTCATCTAGGAGTCTTGGAAGTGATCATGGACTGCCAGAAAGCAAAGATTTTGGAATGTCACCAGAGTAGGAGGTAACACATGCTGAAAAGGCCCCARTATACAATAAATTAGCAGAATGAGAGAAGTGGTGTGCCGTGTTTACTAATGGATCCTGACATCCTGTGGGAAAGAATCAGATGTGGAAAGCTACTGTAGGGAGTCTCCTACTACAAGTCACAGAAACTGCTGAAGGAGAAAGTTAATCAATTTTCAGAGGTCAAAGCCACCTAGCTGGCTTTATATGCTTTTGAATAGGAAAATGGTCAATATTTTATACTTTTCCTGGATGCTGGCAAATGCTCTGCGGGCCTGGCTGCAGCCATAGAAGCAGAATGACTGGCACTGCAGGGCTAAGCCTATCTAGGCTGACACATTGTGGCAAGATATTGCTGCCTGGGTGGAGAATCTGGTTGCATGAGTACATCATTTACCCAAGAGTCGGGCCTCTGAAGAACACCAGAACAACCAGCAGCGGCCAAGACTTGTGTGGCTCAGGTAGACTTGGACTGGCAATGTAAGCATGAATTATTTCTATCTCAGTGGGTCYATGACACCTCATGACATCAAGGAAGAGATGGAATGTATAGGTGGGCTTGTGACTGAGGTATGGACTTAGCCATAGACACTGTCACRCAAGTTATCCACGGATGTAAAGTTGCAATTAAGCGATTGAGGAAGCCAGGCTTTTAAAGCACCTTTGGTGTGGAGGACAAAGGCTGAAACATAAATATGGAGAAGTCTGGCAGATTGATTATGTCACACTCCCCTGAACCCCTGATGGCAAGAGTCATGTGCTAACAATGGTAGAAGCAACCACCAGACGGMTGAAAACATATCCTGTGCCCTGTGACACTGCTTAGGACTCAGGATAGGGTATTCCAGTATTCCAGAAAGAAATTAATCACTGGAACTAATTTCCAAAACCACGTCATAGATACTTGGGCCGAAGAACGTGGCATTTGAGTGGATGTATCACAATCCCCATCATGCACCAGCCTCTGGAAAGATGGAACAATGTAATGAACTGTTAAAGACTAAGAACAATGGGTCATGGGACCTTTAAACAGGGGCATTTAGCATTTAATGAAGGCCACTTGGTTAGTGAACACTGGGGAATCCACCAGYTGGACTGGTCCTGAAATGAAAATTTTACATAATGTAGAAGAGGATAAAATTCCTGTACTGAATACTACAAATGTGCTAAGGAAAACTGGGTTATTCCTGTCTCAGGCACAGGCAAACTCATTCATCACTGGTCCCAGCAGATAGAAAGGACTGTCGTGTTTTGAACCCAGCTGGCAGCTAAGCCCCACACAGCTTGGGAAGAGAATCTGAAAAGTACAAGGGACAAAACTCATGGGTTGAGACAAAAACAGTTTAATAGGTAAAGCAAAAGCCACACATGCAAGGAAAGCAAAACAAGGAATTCATCCACTGTTTCCCRTGGGCAGGCAGTTAACCCCCATAAGGCAGAGCCACCACATGTGTAACTGTAACTTGGGAAGATAAACACCATCACTCTGAACATCTGCTTTGTTTTTYCTCAGGTTTRTATGCTGAGTATGATGCCRTGGTATGGRATAYCCYTTGGKTTGGCTGTCCCAGCTGTGTCCCCTCCCAGCTTATGCCTCTCCAGGCTGMTTGATGGCAGTGTGAGGTTAGAAACCTGGAAGGCCTTGACTCTGTGCAARCACTATGCTGCAATAATGAAAACATCTCTGAATTATCCACACTGTTTTCATCCCAAACCCAAACAGACCTCCACACCACTTGCTGTAAAGAAAATGAACTGCCCCAGCCAACAAACACCAGCACATCCTCCACTCCTCTGGGAAGTGGGCTGACCATGGCTTGATGCCAGGTGCCCACCACCAAAGTCACTCCTCACACTTTTTTCTGCTCCAGTGTGGGGTCCCTCCCASAGACTGCAGTCCTTTGGGAAAAGTCTGCTTCAGCAAGGGACCCCTACAGAGTCCCCAGTTCTGCCAGAAAAATTTATTCAACATGGACTCCTCTCTCCAAAGGACCAAATTTCTATATGTCCAAATTTTTTGTCTATTTCTGCACCAAATAGATTCTCTGTGCTCTTTTCATAGCCCTACATAAAACTGCACTTCTGTCAATGGGTTATGTTATAGTTGTTGTCAGCCATTCTTTCTTGTCTCACCTTTTCCCCTTGACTAGGCCAAATCTCTGAGCAAAGCTTGARTTATTGTGGAAATCTGGTGGCAGTTTTTGATAGAGCCTTGTAAAGGCTGCTCATTTCATGCTTGGATGGTCACAGTCTAGATCTCCATCAGGCCTGTCAGGTGAAGGCATGTCCGAGTGCCCGAAGGTGGTTTTAATGTTGTATCAGGCTGTCAATGACAAATCCAAAAATTTTCTTGAGCTGAGAAACTGTTTTGACAGAGTAACACAACTCTGGAGTCTTTAGTCAAAGGAGGTTTCTCTGCAGACACGAGATCATCCAGGTGACACCTYCTGCTCATTGGTATCACCTTTGCTTTGCCAAGGTCAATGTTCCCTGAATGTTGGACCTTCCCAGACTGTGCTCTTTCCTTTATGCTCTTTTCCACATGGTATGTCTTCTGCTCTTGGGACCTGCTCTTTTCTGTGAGATGAAAGTAGAGAGAAATGTGCAGTCTCTGAACCTTTGGGGCAACTTTTCTGGCAGCCTCATAGCAGTGCTCCTCTCCAACAACTCTGCAGAACAGCCTGTTAGCAGGCGTACATCTCTGTGTCTCTCACTGAGGCAAAAAAAAAAATTCAAATTGCTTCAGAGGCAGCTGGCATAAGTCCATCTCACATCAAACCTGAATGCAYCTTCTGGACAAAAGGTTCCTTAGCTTTGTACATCCTCTGTTACCTGGAGTCACGTAGCGTACTGAAGCATTTTGTATGACCCATTTCTGCCCAGATTGCTTTCTTTCTGGATGAATACA